TTTTTTTTTTTTTTTGATAGTGTTGTAATTTTGAGGACTCTGAATTCTAAGCTGGCTGCCTGGAAATAAAGTGAGCTTTTCTTGTCCTAAAATAAAACAAATCACAACTTTGTATTACTTAAATAAACATCAATGATCTCAGATGTTGAAGGTTAAAAATAAAAGCACTGGTAACAAAAATGAAACAAATTAAGCAGACAGTGTTTAAACCAAAAGTGAGTTTTGTCAGCTTTACATTTTAAAGTTCGGTGTGTCYAGATTAGATTGACGCCTTCACCCCGTGTGCTTTCCTTGTTAGAGATGTTCCAGTTGTTTCAAGCTGAATATGTTCTGCATGCAAAATCTTTAAATCGATCGACTATCAGTCAAATCAAGATCCGGGTTTGGGCCGAGTCATTTACAATCAAACCACTTCTCTTTGCATCTGTTGCGTGTTTCTTTTAAAGTGGGGTTTGAATCATCACCATGCTAAAATATGTAGATATAAAAATGTAGTTTTAAGCTCAGCTGTTTCAGAATAGATTTTTCTAAAACAAACTTTTCTGAATTTAACACAACACATCATTGCTTCAGTTCTGACTAAGTGGAGACTCTRCTAATGAGAAGACGATGCCCAAAGCATGATTCTGCCACCACCGTGCTTTACTGTGGAGACGGTATCTATGACAAAAAACTTGGYGCATACTCTCCACGAAACTATGCAGAGAATGGGGTCTTAGACAAATTGCGAGAAGAAAGGTAAAATTTTCTTCACACAATGATATTGATGCAATCAAATTAGGGCATCTCTTATGAAGTATTTAGTTTTAATTTAGAAGTTTTTTATGTCTATGTCTTTGCGTGATATATTTATTGCTACATGTTATATAAGTGTTATATTATGCTTGCTGACATGTTTTATATTATGATTAATATAAAATGTTTAATGTGCTTTAACCATCTKTTCCTTTTAGCAGGACTGGTATCGTGCCATATGCATTCATTTGCAATATATTTAAAATAAAATGTTTAATGTGCTTTAACCATCTGTTCCTTTTAGCAGGACTGGTATCGTGCCATATGCATTCATTTGCAATATATTTAAATATGCCATCAGAGTATTTAAAATGTAATGTTTTTTTTAGAATYCCACCATTATTCTTTTTTGTCTTTTAAAGATTAGACCCAGACATATTCAGAGCTCTCTTCTGTCTGTATTGTGCTGCTTCCTCTGTGGTGTCTCTTGCACYCTGGTGTTGCAGACTGAGTTGAAGCTTTGTGGTGGCAACCTCATGCTTTAGGGATATTTTTCATTGGCGCAGCTTGGTCACATTTGAAGGGATGATAAATGGTGCCAAACACAGGCAAAGGAAAAAGGGGTTCCATTTTTTATTTCACGAGACTGAAATGGAAGTTCACCTTTCAGAATCACAATGACCCAAAGAACGCTTTCTAAGGCAACACTCGAGTGGTTTGGAGGGCACATTTAAATGTCCCAGTACGGCCAAGTCAAAGCGCACACTTCAATTTGCCTGAGGTCTGYGGTGTGTTTCAAAAATTTTGGTGCACTTCTGAGAACCATCCAGCTTGAAGGAGCTGGAGCAGTTTTGTCTTGAGGGATGGGCAAAAATCCCAGTGGGTAGACACGCCAAGCTCACAGACAAAACCCTGGAGACCTACAGCTGTGATTGTTGCGAAACTAAATCCTCTAAAATAATGATTTTAGCAATGAAAGAAAAACTTATTCATGTTTTAATTCTTRTCTTCTATTTTAGATTTGTGTTAATGTAAGCCCTAAAGAAAATCATTTTTACTCCAGGTTATGAATCAGCAAAAGGAAAAAGTCCTACAAGAGTTAGTTTTTCAAGGTTTGCGTCCAACTAAAAAAAATAGGCAGAATAAAACAAGAATGTAAAGAAACAGACTTTTCATTATTTGGAACTTTGCTTCTTTGGATGTTTTGATTTTGATATCGACAACAGATTTCAGGCATAATCACTCAAGGAGCAGGCCTCAAGAAACAGTCAGAACTGATTCCAATCACCACATTATTGCTTTTTTATTTATTCTTTTTCAACTCAGATCTTGCCTTGTTAGAGGCAAAAAAAGAAAGGGTAGTTTTATATCTGAAAAAAAAAAAAAGATAATCTGCTGAAGGGTATTTAATATTTTACAAAACCACATTGTTTTTTTCATTGGTTGCCAGAAAGAAATTATGAAAATGTGCTGGAATCAACACAAGGTCTAATTGTTTTTATTAGACTGATAATAATAAGCCTCTTTGGATAGGATCCTTTTTTTCTTATTGTATTACATCAAATCACATTGTTTTGAGTCTGAACTAATACGGAAACAAACTGACTAAAAACTGATGGTGCTAACCACTACAGCACTGTGCAATAATACAATAATACATTGTTTGATGGAACAGACACTGACCAGATTCAATCATTAATTAATTCCTTTCTTCGTGCTCTTTCTATGGTTTATATTTGTTCAGTACAACAGACAGCGTGGGCTTTCCTCCAACCATAGTGCTCCTACTCCTCCACCTACTGCCGACATGTCGTCATAAAGCTGTGTTTAGTGGTCAAAAATGGGGAATCCCCCCTAAACTTTTCCCGTTACCCCTTGTTAAAAAAAGACAGTGTTAAAAAAAAGATTTGCGACAAAAGGTGAGAGTACTGGTAACAGAACTTAACCTGCTGCGAGCTCCTGAGACTAATATCCTGGTTTATTAACCAGCTGACATCAGCTCACCAAGCTGAAATTAACAGAGAAGTTATAATAATATGGACAATAAATACTATTACTTTAAGGTGACAAGTTGGCAACTAAGTTTGTGCAGTGTTTGTTCATGTCTGTTCAGGTTTACTTTCTATGACTTTTAGTTTCTGTATTTTTTCTTCATGTTCCTTTTCTTTCTTATGCCACCGTGTTTTCAGCCACTCTCAGTGCTTTTTCCATTGACAACCTTCACGCTCTGGTTCTGCTCAACCCACTTCCACCTGTTCTTTKTTGCCATTAAGYCCGATRTCTCCACTTTACTCATAAGCTCCAATCCATTCAAGTCTTACTCCTCTACAGCAGTGTTTCCCAAAGTGGGGTCCTGAAAAGATTTTTGAATTTATTACATTTTTGCCTTAGTTGTTACAAAGAAGTGAGGTTAGTATATTTAAAATGGATAAATGTAGTATAAAAATATTGTTACTTTGCCCATGTTTTGTTAACCTGATACAAATGTTTATCATCCAAAAATAGTTGGGGGCACAGGTCTCTGCTACTGTTATTTTGTGGGTCAAAAGCTGAAARGTTTGGGAACCACTGCACTTTGGTTCCCAAAGTTGGGCTTGGGACCCAATTATGGGTCATGAAGCACCTTGGATAATCTCCAGAAATCAATTTAAAGGTAATAAAATAATTGCTGATGTAATATTGTCCCTTTAATTATTACAAAAACACAAAAGTAAGTATAAAAAGTATTTACATTTGTGTACAAGCTATTTAGATTGTCAAAAAGCCTGTGTTTTTAGGGTTATTAACAAAGTTCGTGTACTCAGACCAGTAATATTTGGGGTCACAAGTTTTTGCCATGGATATTTTGTGGGTCAGAAGATAAAAAGTTTGGGAACCACTGCTCTACAGTGTGACTGTCTTCTCAAGATTGTTTTGTATCTTTTGCGGACACGCCAGCCTCTTGTTTAAAACAATATTATTGCAATAAATAATTTTCATTTTCATCTGAGTTCTGTTGGTTTGTATTCTTGGGTTCATTTCTAATATGAACCTTGATATAAACAGCCTAAACAGAGTTCACTTGTGTTCACTTACTCTCTGTATGTGACTGTGCTTTGAAATTAAATAAACCAAATAAATACTTCTACATTATTATTTATATATTATAGCTAGTCAATAATAAAGATACAGTACACGTCATTCAAACGGTGGTAAAAATAGCAAATAAAAATCAATCGTGATACATTTTAAATTTGTTTATTTTATTATCTTGTAGGTATTTCTACTCGGTGGTATCACACCATCAGAATCCTACACTACTCCATGCCTAACAAGTAACTGACTAATATTACAATTTGTAGCAATTATTGCTGAAGGTARAAAGGCAAACATATTTTTCTATAGTGTTAGAAAAATATCTCAAACACTGGAGTTCGCCACAGTCTTATAGATATTTAACTACTATTTGGTGATGTATCAGCTGAGAATCATTCATAATGACACAAAATGTAATTTTCACAAAGTTTGTTGACAGAGTGTTTATAATTGGAATTTGCACATACTCTATAATGTATACACAGGTAAGTATATCATGAAAATGTTTGCCAAAAAGATCTAAAAACATTGTGACAGTAAACTTGGTGATAATTAATATCGGTGTCATTCTCAATATTTTATTTTTTATATTTTGGCTACGACTGTAGTCCGAGCAACTTTGACATTAACTGTACGGTGTCAACAATGCTCGGGTGTTAGCAAAACTATTCATGAACCACCAGGCACATAAAAAAAGCAAAAATCTTGAAATACTATCTCCCAATGGACATCTGAAACTAATTGACATTAAAGTCAACACGATTCAAGATGGCCGCCACAGCTAACCCACGTTAGCCAAAATAAAAATGGCTATAACTTTGTCAAATGGATCAGCGTTAAGCTAAAGTTTTATACGTTTGGCTAATTGCTAAAAAATGTGAAGAAAAATCACACTAATCAAAATCTATTTCTTTAAACATATTGACTCATACTGATATAAGAAAAACCTAATGAGCCCTTCGTTAGAATTTAAAAACATCTCGTTTCTGTTGGGMATGATTTCTCACCTTGCTGGAGTCCCAGTTCTGTGTCTTTGTCTGGGTTTTCATGAGTTCATATGTTTGTTCCATTCTGCCCACGTCAGGCTTTGGAAAACCAGGGACAACGTTATGAAGCTGGAAGCCAAATAGCTGCAGCCAGCTACCAATATCTGGAAACACACACACACAAGTACGAGGAAAAAAGTGCATTCAGAGAAAAAGCTAGAAGGAATTGTGTGTACTGTAAAGCAAACAAAAAAGTCATAAAGTCAGCTAAGCAACACCTCGCACAGGAAGTCACACAGTTTGTGAGCAGAGACGGTTGTTTGGTTTCTCCCTCACTTACAAATTCCTCCTGTAATAATAAAGCTCAGTGCAGGAAAACGTGACGGTTTAAATGAATGTGCCATTAAATGGAAGGACAAATGCCTCCGCCAACATTCCACATTCATCCTCTGCTCTCCTCTTTCATCTCTTTCCCTCACCTAAGGTTTTACCTCGTCTGCTGGGGAACCGGCGCGTTCTTGACAGACAAGAGAGAACAAAAACACTGCAGACCGTGTTAAAGAAACACTACGATCAGAGGCACGGCTGTCCTTTCTGTTGCCAGCCCTTTCTGTCACATTTTCTTCTTCTGACACGTCGCTCGCCTGTGGTTAGCCATGTGCCCCATTCACTCACTCTTCATGGCAGATGTTTCCCTTRCATGTGCAGGTGTGGGGAGTAGGTGTCATCGAGTGAATTTTCTCTCTGTCTGTCAGCCAGTAGCTAATTGTGCGTTTAGTTAAGACGGCGCACGTGAGCGCGAGCGAGTGTGAAGCTCACCTGTAGTAAACTGTGTCACCTCCTCCACGTTCCCGACCGGGCAGTTGTTCTTAAAGGCATACAGGTTGAACGGCTGCGGCTCTTTGCTCAGCTCCCCCCACAGCTCATAGTTCGGTGAAGTCCATCGGCCGGCGAGCGTGTCGTAGTCCCGCCTACCGAGGTGGACCAGTCTCGTGAACGGGTCGTACAGGCCTCCGTGGAAGCCGATGACCAGCTTGAAGTCAGGATTTGTGTCTTGATAGACCTCTCCATAGGGGGTGTAGAGGATCTCTTTGATTAATCGGCCCTTGCTGGAGAACACTGCCCTCGGGCTCCCCACACTGTCACAGGCGACATAGTACTCCTCCCCGCTGCTCAGCTCCATGGCGATGAGATGGCCCTGAAGGTCGTAGTACAGAGACGTGATCAGATTGCTGCTGTGGTTGTACAGGTGGCTGACCCTGGTGGGGTGTGACAGATCGGCGTAGAAGAACTGCAGCTGCTCGCCCTGGCTGTTCTTAGTGGCCACGCGCCGGCCCAGCCCGTCGTAGCGGTACCAGACCGAGCGCTCCGTCATGCGGTTGAAGACGCGGGTCAGCAGTCCGTTGGAGTTGTACTCGAAGAGTTCACTGGCTCGCTGGCGGAGGAAGCCGTCGTCATCCACGCTGTACTGCAGGTCCCCGAGGTGTGTGATGCGATCTTTCTGGTCGTAGCGCAGCGACGTCAGCCTGGAACGATACAAGCTGCACGTAATACCAGTCAAGACTGTATTTACAAGWTTGTGGTGTTAGCTATCTTGCTCCAGGGTATCTGCAGGTTTTRCAGGAAACTTYTTAAGATCGTTTTAATACCACCTCGAATGAAACAAGACCGAAAGAACTATAAACATAGCTGATGGTTGGAGGATTCTGCTGTATTACAGCCAAGCATTGCACATGTGTCACTCAATGAAACATGTTGAACACAAAGATTTTCTGTGCTCTCTGGTTAAATTAGCTGTTATTTGGTTGGAAACATCCAAAAAAGGTGACATCTACTAAATACATGTATGGCACGAAGCTTTATGGCGTTCTAACCTCCAGTTTTGCCTTTACACACAAAGAAGWCATCCAGCCAACTTTAAATAAATTTACACCATCACAATTTAAGACAAACTTACAGATTCTTTTAATGAATTTAAGACTTTTTAGATCTTTTTAAAGATGTGCAGACACCTGTGCTAACCTATTTGGAAGTTTTAAGGAGTCAAAGTGATGTTTTCAAACTTAGAACACTATGAACTGTCAAGCATGGCGGTGTTAATGTTGTGACTGATTGAAAATCATCGAAGATATATATTTTAGAATTATTCCACCCTGGAAAAGCAATGGTTAAAAAATTAATAATGCTTTAAAAAACAATAATACAAAACTCATAACCATGATGAGTGTTTGTAAACTTCTAGGGGTGTAAGAAAAGAACCGTACACTGAAACATCACAGTGTTTCAACACTAGTGATTCTTGAAAGCACTGTATCAAATTTTAATTAGGGCCAAAAATGTAAATTCTCATGCCAGTGGTTCATTTTGTGTTGTATTTTAGCCTCCGATTTCAAGTTGGCAGCAGTCTGCTGTAATATATATA